TATATATATATATATATATATATATATATATATGATTTGAAGACGTGATAATTTGGGAGAGTACTTAAAAAATTAATTTTAACAAAAAATAGTACTTGTTTGTTTGATTTGTGGTTCAAATTATTTATTAACTTTGACTTTAACATTTTATCAGTTTTTAAAGCTTTTTATGAGCTGATTAATATAAGGTGAGAAATTAACATATATGCGTTTAGAGGTCTTCTCTCCGTTTAATTTGTCGGGACACGAGATAGCAACATTCTCCCTACCTACCCACTCGCACGTTACCCCACCAACCTCAACCCTAATTCTAGTGAACAGTGGTTCAAAATATAGAACAAGCCCTGCTCCTTGTCTCGATTTGGGGACAGGGTCAGGGACATCTGGCGCCCAATAGGGGGCACCACTGTTTTCAACCCTGTCCTCAAGTCGGGACAGGGGGCTTTATTCAATATAGAGAGATAATGAGTGTATTATAATATAAAGAAAACCCTCGGCTGCCCAAATCACTACATGAGCATATAAAAAACATAGTAAAAGATGGCACATATGTTATCATTGCATAGTGTTCGTGTTTTAGGTACCAAACATTTTATTCTGTATACCAATACTTTTTCAATTCTCTGCTTTTTTTTCTTTACCCTATTTCTTCATTCTTGATTCTGTTTCCAAGGGTTTTTTTCTTTTCTACTGTGTTTTAAATCCACTTAGATTTCTTGGTGGCTTGTTTTACCGATAAACATCTCATTGCATCTTCTTCTTCCTAATCAGCTCTCCCTCTCTCCCTCAATTAGATGGTATCATCTTAATTTGATTTTTGTCTCTCAAAGAAGTTTACAGATCTAGGAAGAAATTAAGGATCATCTTTCTTGAAAAGGCGTAGGAAATTTTGTGTGTGTGATTTTTGTTCTTCCTTCAACAAGAAAAAGGTTAGGGTTTGAATTTTGTTTGCATACACAAATTCAATCAACAGAGTTTAAAGAAAGCAAAGATCAATCATCAGCTTTAGATCCTTCATTTCTTTCAGCTGAACCAATGAAATCTGCAAGTATGGCTAATAGTAATCGGTGGTGGACCGGTGGCTTGCCAGTCGTTGAACCGGCTATGATGAACAAACACGAAAGTCAATTTCCGATCAATGAAAACAGTGGTGGAAGCAATGAATCTGATGATAAAGATGCTGTAGATGAGCCTAAAGAGGGTGCTGTTGAGGTTGGCACACGTAGACAGCGAGGCCGACCGCCGGGATCCAAGAACAAGCCAAAACCACCAATTTTCGTAACCAAGGACAGCCCTAACGCCTTGCGTAGCCACGTCATGGAGGTGGCTGGTGGCGCAGATGTGGCTGAGAGCATAGCCCAATTCGCCAGGAGGCGTCAAAGAGGGGTATGTGTATTGAGTGGTGGTGGATCAGTGACTAGTGTCACTATAAGACAGCCTGCTGCACCTGGCTCCGCTGTGGCACTACATGGAAGGTTTGAAATTCTGTCATTAACCGGAGCTTTCCTCCCAGGCCCCGCTCCTCCCGGCGCGACCGGCCTGACGGTGTACCTAGCCGGTGGTCCTGGGCAGGTGGTGGGAGGAAGTGTAGTAGGACCCCTAGTTGCAGCAGGGCCAGTAATGGTTGTCGCTGCCACTTTTTCTAATGCAACGTATGAAAGATTGCCACTTGAAGATGAAGAAGATGGAGGCGTCTCCACCCCGCCGGCTCCCGTGGCCAGAGAAACAGAAAATTCTCCGCCAGGAATCGGAACAAGCGGCGGACCACAACAACATGGGATTCCTGATCCTTCAGTACTTCCAATTTACAATTTTACGTCGAATTTACTAGCAAATGGTGGACAGTTGAATCATGAAGCATATGCTTGGGCACACCCTCGACCTCCTTATTGACAGGAACAGAAAATAAGTAGGTAATTGCAATAATAATAAATTATGTGTTTGTGTGTTGTGTTACATGGAAATTTAGGTACAAATTAGGGATTTTGGGATGTTGATTCGGCTTTATGATTACAGACCTAAAATCTTTATCTCATACTGAATGTCTTCTAAAAAAAGTGTTGGGATGTTTTAGCTATATAGAGCATTGTTCTCTACATATGTAAAGTATTGAAACTTAATTTTCCAACTTGTTTGGAATAAAAATATGTTTTCTGCAATAATTTCCTGGTTAATCAAGTATGTTTGCAATAAAAATATGGTTTCTATATTTGCTTTTCTCTGTTTAATCCTATATATTTAGAATTTAAAATATCAGTTTTATATATGAATCTCACGTTTAATAAATATAATTATGTTATGTAATTTGCTTACTAATATTTATTAGGTAGAGCAGCTTTAGCTCTATATTCTTAATGTAACGTGCAATGTAAATCATAAGATTTTTAATAAACACTTCGGACTAGATTTTTGGGATTTAATTAATCTTCTTGGATAGGGCCAACATCCAAACAGGGTGCCAAACTGGCGCCCCCCTATTGGAGATAAGCGACCCCTCCAATAGGGCACGGACAGGGCCTACATGACCTTGTCTGTCCAGTACTGCTATTTTGAATTATAGAGAATATTTTTAATTACTTCCTCATTTCCAACAATAGTTTAAAGGAATTTATAAAAAATATTTATTTCAAAACATGATGTATTTATAATTCTTTTTCTTCTTTAATATATGTTGTGCTTCGTGGGACAATTTAGTTGATACATTTATGCACTGGATACATTCACTTAAAATGGGGCAACTTTTTAGCATTTGGGCATTCTCTCTTTCCTTTCATTAATTCAAATGAAATAGTTGATGGTGGTGCAGGATGCATAGATGTTTGGATAGGTTTAATTATTTTTTATTTAACGAAAAAGAAAGAAACACGTTCGATACTCTCTTGTATTTTATAAAACATAATAAATAGTTCATTAAAAATAAAAAGGTATGTAATGCAGACTTAAAGCGAGATCTCCAACTATCGAATACAAAGCCAAGAAAATTGGAGCATTTCTATTTTTAAAAATGATAATGGAATTGGAAAGTTTACTAACAATGCATGGAACATTTGAAATATTTTATTAGGTCTTGATAATGTAAAATAATATATAGTGAGGCCGTGTATGAAAGAAGTTAATTAAGAATGGCTCCAATTAATCATTTTATAAGATAGAAAATTAACAAATCATCAATTCGTTGGGAGTTTACTATAGCCTCCTACTAGTTTATGAAGAAAATAAATAATTGAAGATTTAAAATTGTCGACTTGTTTTATATTAGCCCCAAAAAAAATTTAAATTAACCCTTATTTGAGCCCCATTTTTTCAAAATTTATTTTTTGAAATTTATTTTCAACCATACATTCTCCAATAAATAATTTTACATGTAAATCAAAAAAATTTCTTATTTTTAAATCATATATTCTCCAGAAAAATCACTATTTCAAAATAATTTTTACTTCAAAATGAGGCGCTCAACAAAGTTGACTTCTCCAATACGTTAGGAGCATATACTGTATACATAAATGAACAATAATAAAAGCCCATGTCATGTATCCTATTGATGAAGTTACGTTTGAACAATAGTAACATATTTATAAGATTTCAAAACAATCATAATGATTAATTTAAAATTTAGAAAATGTTAAAAACATTGACTCCTTAACCAATTATCACCTATACAATTAATAACCACGACAGGCGACGTATTTTGATGCTCGAACAGTTAGTAGATGCGGATCTTGTCAAGATTCCTTCTGAAAAATTGATTTTATTTTATCTTATTATTATTATTATTATTATTATTATTATTATTATTATTATTATTATTATTATTATTATTATTATTATTATTTTGTGATCATTGTGAATTTATTTAAAATTAGAAAGCAAACTTTCAACACAAATTAATATCTTTTATATGTTAACTAAGTTTATCAGTGGGAGGGTTTAAAGATTTAATTTTTTTAACTTGATTTCTTGGAAAACATCAAACTTTTCTTGCCCTACTTAATATATACTATAGTCTCATATAACCTTCGTCTAGGGATATCATTTAACAAAGAAGGATAATAGAATATTTACCTCTTTTTGGGCTCTTATCGCATTTATTCAGTCGCTTAGATGTGGAATGAAAATAATTCAACACGCATTTTTGACATATTTTTCAGTATAAACGTGTTGAAAGATTGACTAGACATATTCCTAATTAAATAAAGGTTTACTAGTTATAATTCATTGACGTGGGTGATGAAAATAATTAGTTGACACATAAACTTTATCAATTATGCCACATGATGACTGCTTCCCATCACTTCGACAAAAATCTCAAAGCTCTCATTCTCATTCATACCCATCAAATTATGTTCGTTAATTATATGAATTCGAAGTGATAAGAGTAGAGTTCCAAAGTATCTATAATCAGATGAATTATTCATTCATTTAGACTTCTTTATTTCCCAACATGAATCCATTTTATGTCGATATTTTGCTGGAAACTGTTGTACATACTTTTTTGAAAGTTTTATTCTAATTTAGGATCGATTATTATGTCTGTGATCATTTAATTTTTCAAGTGTATACAATGAATTTTTTTATCGCACAGAAATAAATAATCAATTTTTTAATGTGATTTATACAATGTTTTATGTCGCATTGGAATAAATGATATAGATACATTGATCTCCCGAACATGATAGATCAATAGGTCAATCTTTTTCATTTTTTGTATTATATACACAAAATGGCTAAATAAAGCTATTAACATATCCTTCATATGAGCCCACTCTACACATTGATAATAGATTCGCCAACATTTACGATGGTTAGTACTCGAGAGTGCCAATACTAAGTTATTTACTATTAATTCTTCTTCTTTTTTTCTTTTTTCTTTTTTTGTCAGAATTCTCGTCACTCTTTCTTAACCGAATGTAAATAAAATAGCAGGTGTAGATATTTGAAGCATACTTTATTTTAGTATATCCTTGTCATTAAATAGATTAAATTAGACTAGAAATTTGTAGAGATACATTCTCATTTCATATAAAAATGTGTGAATTAACACCCTCGTATCTTATAACATTTTACAATCAAAGATTAAATAATTTTATAGGATTTTGTCTTAATACGGAAAGGATATGGCAAAGTTGGAGTAACATGGAGGACCCACTTCACATGAATTCACGTGTCAGAGTTAATTAATTAATCTTAAGAATTTAATATTGATTAATTAGCAACTTGGTTGAAGCATTCCAATGCTAAAAGTCCAATATGAGGGGCCCTATTAGATTCAATAATTACTAATTCCTATTAAATTAACCATCTTTGAAGACTAATAAAACAAATTGATTCGCCCTTTTGTTCCCATTTGCCTTTCCAAGTGTTACCACACTACCACTCGCATAATCTATGCAGCCCTCCACTAAAGACATACATGATACTAATTTTAAAAAATTGATTAAAATTTAAGTCAAAATCAACAATTAATTTTAATTACATATTTTATTGGATCCACAATTTTCAACAAAATCTATTAAAATTTTGATTTTTGACTAAATCAATAAGGACTTTAAGTCAATCCGACGCACCCAGAGTAGCCAATGAAATTGAAAAGTAAATGTCCTTGAAAGAGAATCCACTAAACTTTTAATTAATATGACTTGGACTACCCTAACCACGAAATTAATAGTGTGTAGGAAAATATAATATTATTTGCTTGGTGGGGTCGTTTAGAAACAAAACGCCACCCAAATGTTTGGCTTTTCATTGAAAATCGATCGTGTCTATGTCGTGTAGTACATGCCATTTTGTTTAATCCAATGGACATTTGCTTAACGTAATTTAAAAAATTAAAACCAATCAATATGTAGAGGGTAAAGGTCGTAAGGCGAGTAAAAGAGAAAAAAAGTGTGTGGCTTCTTAGTTTAATTTTCTAGATGATAATTTGATCTGTTAGTCGTCCACGCGGTTAATTGAATTTTTTAACACGGATGTGTCTTCTACGGTATGATTTGATGTCTACAACAATTCCTTGACCAATCTAATATTTTTATAGACAATCTCATACTAGAAATTTATCTGAACAGTACGATTAATTTGTAACGAGTATTTGGTCACCGTCTTTTTAAGTGATAATTTTATTAACAAATTTTTAACTGGAAAATTTGCTCAAAATCCTATAATAAAGATTTCATACAAAATAGCAAAGGTTACCTATTACTTGCTTGAAAATCCTATAATAAGTAAACCCTAAAGCTAATTCAACACTCAAAGTACCGATACTCAATACAAAGGAAGTAAGTCTTAAAGATTATTGTTAAAATTAAGCACTAATTTCAAAAGTAAAATGATTTTCGAAAAACAATTTAGATAAAAAAAGACTAAAAGAAAACCCAATAGAGTGTGATGAGATGGATGGAAGAGATTGATTTCCAAGATTTATAGTTCCGAAATTCAAGGGGATACATGACCCAGTCACTCACTATTAGCATATATGACATTGATCTTTCAACAAAATTAGTGGCATCCTCATTTGTTGTTCTCCACCCGCACTCACAATTTGACGAATTGGTTTCAAATTCAAGTCAATTAGCTAACGTTTGTCATAAAGATTCATGTATATTTTCCACCGCCTATCCTATCATCTTCACAAGCCAGGGATCATTGAATACCTCTTCAATTATTGGTTCTTTAGAGAAATTTCGTCTTAGTATAAGAAAAACTTCCAAAAATGAGAGAATAATTCCCACGATCTTAAATCACTTCCTCAAAGCTATATTTCTAAAGGGTGAGCAAGGAAAGTGAAGGGCAATTTTGAATCTTGAACAACTTAAACAACTAACCTACGTGAAGATATTTTTCTCTTAACAACATACATCAGCTTTTGTCTTAATGTTAAATTATGATTTTGGATCTTAATTTTTCCTCTTTCAAAGAAACACTTTGTGATTGGCTAAAAAGTGCCACCACTTCTAGAGGTTGTGAATGATGATATACACTACAAACAATGAATATATTATGAAAAGAAATAAATGACCTATAAGAATAAATCTACAATAGATAAGGGTTTGGGACATTCCTACAAGATTAATGACTTATTACCTTGGAATCCCAAATCTTAATAAAACATAATCATAAAGAATTAACTAAATCAAATTCACTATCGTTGAAGAGATGGTTGTATACA